CCATATAGAAGGGTTGACCAAACATAGAATTTCAGGACTTTTATTTTGGTGTTCATTGAGATGTTTCTATTTTTCAGATTTGAGCAGATAGAACTTTGTAATTCTAGGGTAGCAGCCTTGAGAATGCTTGAAATCTTCGTGCTTCCCAGATTCTGTGAGTTCACATTCGTTGACCACTCTGCAGCCCACAAACTGGTCTTTGGAAAGTTGTCCACTTTGTCCACCGGTACAATTAAACAAATATGCACAAACAAACAATAAAACAACCAAAGCTAGAGATAATACAACAGAGGCGTTTTTACCTCTCCCCTGTCTTGCTGGGGGAAAACAGAAAAAAACAACAACCCTGAAAAAGCAATAAATAAAAAACATAATCCCACCCCTAAACAGCAGCAACATACCTTCATTTTATATTCTTAAAATAATCATGTCAACAAAATCTGCCTGCAACATCATCGTTTGCTGCGCATTTTTTTTTTCCGAACTGTATATATCTTGTTGTTCTTTCTACGTCTTTCGAGCAAAGTTCAGTACAGTGCGAGTGCACATGGTCCCTAGCTGTGCTCACAAATGACAATAACATGACACTTAACCGAGATGCTCAAGTAATCAACATGCACTTGAAGCCGTTATCCTTTTTTCTTCAAGACTCTACATCAAGAAGAAATCCGCTTCAGAATGAAAAAGTGCAACAATAAAAAGCATCACAACCAACAACTCTGAGCTGGACTTGCTTAATTAAACAAAGCGCTAGAAAAGTTTTATCACCACAGAAGCCCTCATTTAATTCAAAAGATTAATTAACATTGTAAAGTAATAAGTCCACTGACAAACATGCTGAAGAGAGATCTATCATACTCAAGCATGATTAAAGCGATGTAAAACTGAAAGGTCAAGGCGTCTGTGTACTAACATCACAGATTTCACTAACAGATGTTTTGTGTTGTTGGCATTTTTTGTTTTTTCTCTACCAAACCTTAAAAGTGGGCACAAGTAGAAACTACAATGTAAGTTTCGTAACTTAAGGAGCAATGATGCGGGTGACCCAGGTTGGAATCTGTGTTACTGGTGCCTTGTTTGGGGAGTTTTCAAGCTTTCAAGGATCCTCAACCCCTTGAAACTGTGTTGTCGGGTTAAACTTTGCACATTGTTTACTGTCAGGCTACCACTGTCTCGCGATATTGATAAGCTGAAATTTCCAGCAAACAACAGATATAAAGTATGGTACGTCTCAGAATATCAGCACCACCACATCCGCTTATCAAAGAGAGAGAGAGTGAGAGAGAGAGAGA